TAATAGGTAGATAAGAATATTAAAAAAAATATTTTTTTGGAATTTTATAAAGTTATTGTACTTTTTAGCACAATACCGGTAACAAGTTGCTCTTGTGAGCGAGCATTTTCGAAATTAAGTATTAACGATAGTGAAATCAAAACTTTGTAGTACAATTACTTATTAGCAAAGACTTGATTCATCAATGTTTTTATTTATTGAATAACAGATAACCAATAACATAAACTATGACGATGTAATTGAAGAATTTAAAGTTATGACACCATCAAAACGCCGTCTGGAGTTAAGAGTATTTAGTTTTTAAAAAAAGTAAAAAAAAAATAATTGTAATTCTACTAAAATGTAAATAGCAACAAAATAAAGGATGAACAATAAAAATGTTTATTATGTAGGTATACTTAATTTTTAAGAAACTTTTCTTGGCCATACCTGCGAACGAATCCTAGACACGCCTATGCAACAAACCGATGTTGTATATAAGTACTGATTATGAGAAAGCCTTTGATAGAGTGAACCATGCCATATTAATCAATGAACTATTGGAATTAGTTTTGCCTATCCTCTATTATCATCGTTTAAATCTTTATTCTTAAGTTCTTGAACCCATTTTGTTAAATTTTATATCAACACCTATTATAAATGCAATTTCTGGAGTTCCTCTAGGCGACCATCTCTCTCCTTTCCTATTTAATTTATTCATATAAATTTTACTTTGTCCTCCATTTCACACTTCAACAATCTATTATTTGCTGATGTCGTAAATATTTTCAAATCCATTACTTCTCTCAATGATATAAACTTCCTTGAAAGTAATTTAGCTTTATTTAATGAATTATGGGGGCCTATCATTGAATACTTTACTTATTGACAAATTCCAAATTGTAACTTACTCCAAAAAGCACAAACCATCTCATTTTAATTATCATATTATATATAATAGTAACTTATATTGCTTGCCATCAATGAATGATTTAAGGATTTTATTTGATTCTAAACTATTATTCAATGCTCATGTATTAGGGATAAAAAATAAAGCCATATCTGTATTTGGTATGATAAAAAGAAATTGTTTCGATTTTCATGATCCATTTCCTTTCAAATGTTAATATACCTGCTCACTAGTTCGTTCCTTATTAGAATAAGTTTCATTAATTGGGTACCACAACAATGCAGGACATAATGATAAATTTTAAAAATTCGAGACTAAAGTTCTCAGATTTATATGTCATAAAAGTAATATTCAAAGAACTATAAGAATTCCTCACTCAGGTTATGAAAAAATTTTAAAATTATTAAACTTAGAAACTACATAAACTTAGTTATTACTAAAGCTATACAGAAATTTATCATACAACTCTTTTCTCTCCAAATTACTGAATAATGAGATTAATAATTTATTTTTATTCAGTCAAATAAATTTCAAAGTTAATAAACACTACACTTGTAACAATCATTCATTTTATATTTCTCATTCTTCTAAAAACCAAAACCCAATAAACATTTTAATGTCTTCTGGAAATAATCAATTCCTTTAATAAACATTGTGTTTGTGTGTATTATTAATATTATCATATTTATTTGTCTATTGATCTTTTATTTTGTTGTTTCTTATTATCTTAAATTATATTATAAAATTATTGTTATTTATACAAATATTTTGTGAATTGGACATTTGACAGTATGAATAAACAGATAAATATATAAAATCAAAACAATAGCGGTTGGATCCGGGATAGGTATTGTACACACATATATATGCGGTCAAACCACGTGCGGTTATACCAAAAATATTTGATGAATGAAAAGTTATTACAATATTTTAAAACTTAGTCGTCTGAATGTTTTTAACACCAAAAGTTATTTAACAGTTTATAAGATATTGACTATCTGACGTCCGTACAAAATTTATTTAAATCACGGTCATCTATAGTTCAAGTCTTGTCTGTAGCAGAAACCCTTGGTGTGCTACACGATCCTGCGCAAAGGCCACATAGAAAACACCCATTAAATAATGATAGAGAAAAAAATGGATGTTTTAAAATTTTATAATGATATAAGACGTCATATGATGCTCAGACACCAAGATACAAACAAAAATAAAATACTATATACTATATAGCTTAATGAAAATCGCAATAACTATAAACATAGCCTGAAAAGTATTAAAATTTATTGCAACATTGGCCATAGATTAATAACTTATTTTGAGAAGAATTATGACTTGGAAATTTTTTGTTATATTCCAACAAAACAATACTAATATCGACACATCGTTATTATTTGTTTATACATTTTTTTCATTAAAATTTCAACTTAAAATGTCTATAATAAAAACTGTTTAGCTATTTTAGCTCCTTAAAGTGGAGGCCTGAGTGCATTAAACATATTGCGCTTTCAATTGTTGCGGCACTGCGCATAGAATACTAATAAGTTATAAGAATACTGATGAACAATTATTTTAGATTCTGAGCAGAGCGATGAATGTATTGATTTTACCATGATGTGTTTTTTTTGTGTCTGTCATCACGTTTTGGGGCAGTAAAAGTGCTTCGATTTTTTACTTCAATACCTGGTTCGATCAGAAAAGGAATCTATTTCTATTCTAATCTAATTCTTAATATTTTTCTAAATAATCGGGATAAACATACTAAAAATTAAGGGAAAAACGGGAAATTTTACGCACATTCATTTTTCGACAAAATCGATTTTGGTTTTTGATGTAACGTTAAAACAAATTACCATAGATTAGATACACGAAATTTCCACCATGCAATTATCAAACATTTTCGACTTAAGTTGAACTATTCATAGGCGTTTGAAATTTTCGATCATTATTATTTTTTTTAAAATTAATATCGATAAAAATGTATTTGTTAAGCAGAAAAGCTTGAAAATTTAATACAAGGCTCTTAACATATTGTTACATTAGCAGTTGAAAAATAGAAAGAAATTCATAGTCACCATTTTTTTTTTATAAGCATTCAAAGTTTGAATTTTGACAAAATATGTAAAAACACAAAATATTTTAAGCTAGAAATTCATAAAAAATTTTCTTTTTAAATCTAAGATTTGAAAGTTTAATACAAGATTCCTTAAAAGTTTTTCAATCTTTATCACAAATAAAAAGTCCACCGGAAATTAAAATTAAATTTTTATGAGCATTTGAGCGATTTCTTATTTTGGTGTAACTCTAAAACAAATGACCGCAGATACTTGAAATTTTCACTGAATGTTTATATAGACATTTTCTATATTTAATATTTTCAAAATATTTAGATTTGTTTTGAGCTGTTTACTGACATTTTATTTTTTCAACTTTTTTAGTTTTTTTTTCTATAAATATCGATAACAATTTATTTGTTGGGTAGAAAAGCTTGAAAATTTAATACAAGGCTTCTAACACGTTGTTACAATAGCAGTTGAAAAATATAGGGGGCTCACTTTTTTTTTCATTGGTGAATGGTGATACATCATTTTAGTATTATGAATTATATCTATTAATAGGTAATTATTCTTATTACTAGAGATGTTGATGACCTAAAAAACACACAAAACTGCCCTAAAAAAAATTCAAAAACCCCTAAAAACAGTGCAAAAATGCCCTAAAAACTTCAAAAAATGACCTTAAAAATTATCTGAAATACTAATTAAGTAAGTGAAAAAATATTATTTATAAAATACTAATAGTCCAAATCCAAAGTTAGATTTTAAATAAATTAAATTTGTTTCCAAACTTGGGTGTAACATTTGCCATAAAATCTATAATTTGTGAAAAATGCCCCACATTGTATAAAAAGTACAAAAAATGCCCTAAAAGCTGAAAAAATGACTGAAAATGTTGAAAAATTACGTTAAAAAACAAATAAAATGCATTTTTATCTATAAATGCAAAAAATGCAAAAAAATGCAAAATAAAATTAGAATATTCTGCATCAAGGGAGCATGAAACAAATTT